AGCTGACTTCTTTATTAGGTTTTAGATTTAAACCTGGCCCTGTCTGTGTGTGGTGTGTGCAGGTGAGGGGGGTATAGCCTGGGATGCTCAAGGGGCCGAAAATAGCGTGGTTAATAGGAGCTTTTGTAAGATGGACTTAAAAAGTCTCGTCATGCACAGCGTCTGGTTGTATTTCAAAGCTTCACAGCAAGACGCACGGCTGTGGTTTTTGGAGAGGAATTGCCGTCTCTGGAGCTGCGTGGTGCAGGCTGTGGAGATACCTGGCCAAAACGCTGCGCTGCTGGGGGTGTCTCGGCAAGTCACAGATTGATGGCAGGGATGAGTTAGAGCTGCATTTCAAGTGGTGGGTCTGGGGTGGGGCTCGAGATTTAAAGCTTGTGTTTAAGAGCTGTGGTTTAATAATTCTCTGCCTAAAAAGAGAAGTCTGGGTTCATCCCAGCGTGTTGCACTGTCTGGTAATTCGTACGGTGATTGTGGTTCACGTGCACTTTCAAGGTATCCTTGTGCAGCGTTTGGCTTTGCTTTTCGTGTTTTGCTTGGTGAGGTGCACAGTAGCTGTTTTTTGTACAGATTTCTGTAACAAAGTTTGAGATAAACATGGGATTTATAGGGAATACATCCCTGTATTTTATCCTTATATTATTAATGTACATTTGCAGATTGTCTTTTATTTCGAAAGGATCCCTGACTGTTCTGGGCATGACCTACAAGTGGCTCTGGAGGAAAGTGTAACGTCCAAGCTTGAAGTGTTCAGCAGTGAAATTAATTCTGGGCAGAAATCGAGGGACTGATTCTGCTGCTTTTACATTGAGCGCTGACGTTGTCCCTGGATCCTCAGGGATCCCCAGGATGTACGTGAGCATTAGTGGCAGGATCAGGCCTGTGCCCCAGGCACGACAGTGGTAAGACAAGAGCTGATAGATGTCATTGAACTGGAAGAAAATCCACTAAAGATTGTGAGTGTTGTGCTGGGTCTTATTTTAATAGCATTTCTGTGTTCTTTGGCAGAACTCTAGGTAACTTTCTAACTCTGAAATTAAATACTGTGTGTATTTTTTTAGCAGCGAAGTGATTTCAATTTGGCACTAAGGAACAACTTTTAAAGAATTTTTTTTCAGAACACCACCTTCATGGTTATAGATGATTTTTATGAACGTTCGGCCTGACCTTGTTTCACTTTCTGAACATTGTACCCTTATGCTCATGTTTCAACTTTGGGTAAAGTAAGCAACACTTGTTTTGTTTCTGTTGGCAGAAGGAAAGTCCGCTCTCAGAAGGTCCAGTCTCAGAAAGAGAACAGCTTGTTTCCTGATGTTCACTGCTGCTGAAACGCTTCTGTGAACATCAGTGTTACATCTGTCTGGATGTGGGTGTAGATGAGCCTGGAAATGTGACCTTTACGATTGTTGACCCAGCACGTCCTTTTTATTTAACAAAAATAATATATATATAACTAACTTGGCACCTGCTGCTGCAGTGCTGGGCTTTTACACTCGTTTATGCTACAACAGAACAGCTTCATTTACTTTCAGAGGGCTGCCCTAAATATGTATTGATGTAACTTCACACAATTGCAGGTTACTCTTCTATTTTTTTAATTATTTTTATTAGGTCTGTGTCTGATGCACACTCTTCTTTTTTTTTTTTTTTAATGCCTCTCTACCACAGTATTTCCATCTGAGATCCCAGTCTATGGGTGTCCTTTTCCTCTGTCTCTCTTGTTTTCCTCCCAAAGCACGCACAGACAGGTCACTTCTCAGGTGCTTAGTCAGAGAAGCAGCAGACTGTTCCATCAGGTTTTTCTTCTGGCTCTGCCTTCCCAGATTTGCCCTCATTTTTTTGAGATAACATGTTTCTATTTTTCTGACTAGCTTTTTATTTATACATGTAAAAATATCATCAAATATCTAATCCTTTTAGATGCTTGCAGAAGAGTAGAGATGGAAGCAATTTGAGAGGCAGCTCAGATCCATTCCATCACCTCCCCAGAAGATCTTGCAGCAAGGAGCTGCTCCGCTTGTGAGCAGAGTTTTTACAGCCACAACCTGATGATCTATTTCTGCTCAACCACCCACCTTCGATACAGCTTCCAGCACCCAGTTGCCTGCAGTGGGGTCACTTTGTCAGCGCTGTCCATGAAGCCTTCCTGTACTGTCCTGGTGTCACTGTTGGCACACTCAGACCGTGTGAGGTGCTTTTGGCTGCTCCCACCGAGGCAGCTCAGGTTCTGGGTGCTCCACGGTGCTGTTGGCCTTGGAGCTGCCCTCTTTGCTGTATTTGCTATGTGGCTTGAAAGAGACCCAACCCTTCTGGTTTGTCCACCTGCAGAACTCTAATTTTGTTGTGCCAGGAGGCTCCTGTGAACGCTGCAGTGGGTCACGCAGTGGCTGGTGTCTCTTCGGCGTGGCAGACTCTGAAGTGGGAAGGTAAATCAGGTGTCTTACACACTGATGTATGTGCAGGTCCATCACGCCTTCACCGTTGCATAATGGAAACTTTTCTGATGTGAAGGACCTGAAGCTTTCCTCCCTTTCAGTTGAGCCTTCACATGTGTGAATGTGCGTGGATCTCCTGATTTATCTTTTTTCTTTGTCCCCATATCTTGGAAATGGATATTTTTTGATGACATCCTTTTAGAGCAGTCAGCTCCATGAGCTTGGCTCTGTTCTCCCACAGTTGTGAAGACACGTTTGAAGGCTTTTTCATGTAAGAAGTTACTTTCTTCTTTGCGCTGTTTTTGATGTGCCATTCTAGGTGTTCAAGGTACCTACACACTACACAGTAACTCCTCAGCCTACACCCTGACAGACAGATGATCTGTTTGTTGCAGAATATTTTCTTTCAGGTGTTTTTGGACACTGATATAACTGAGCCTGTGGTTTGGCCATTCCTCTAGCATTTGGTTGTGGTGTTTTTTTCTTTTTTCTTTGAAGAATTACGTATTTTCTGTTTTATCTTAATACTTGAAACTCACTAACTACACTTCCCTCTTGTGTTCATACATTAAAGGCTGAACATACACCTAAACTGGACATCTGATCAAAACTATCTGTCTAGGTCCCCCTGAGTTGTCAGTGGCAAGAGCAAGGGACCTTCAGAAAGAGGTTTACTCCGCCTATTTCAGATGTACTTCTGAGCATGGCATGCATGGTAGTGGAAGGATGGTGCTTTGTTTCCCTTTTAGTGATCTATAAAGGTACCTTAAATAATAAGCTTTGGCTTTTAGACTTTCAAGAGTAGATGAATCCAACCCTTGGCCTTGTTTTTCATCATCTTCCTCACTCCAAAGCAAAGATGAAGTTACAAGAATTTCTCATCACAATTACAAATACGGTATTGTTTTGACTCTCTTAAAGTACTGCTCAGAGTTGATCTGAAATTGTTTTGCAGTTAACAGCTTTAAAAAAATCTGATCTGCTTGATGATCTAGACTGAAATGTGTTTCTGGGTGACAGGGACACTTTGCAGGTAGATTTATTGTGGTTTTTACCCTCTGCTTTAATAAATGAGTGAGCAGAGCATTTCAGACCTTTGGTTTTATCCATGAAATCTGAGTTTGGATGTTCCAAGTGAATTATTGGCATTAGACTTCTGAGTGTACTTATTCTGGAAATAGTGATTTACCAGTTGTTTGGGTGCTTATGCTTTTATTTGTATGGAAATATGCTAATATACATTGGTGTAGTTTTTCCACATAGCAGCAGCTTTAGATAGAGCAGCACTTGTCGTGGTGTGGTGGTGTAGACAGAGGTCTTGTTGTTTGTCCTTGCGTAATTTATTGATAAATATTGGCTGAGTACTTTGTTCCTTTTTCTCCTTGAAAAGGAGTTCATAAAAATATATGTTCTAGAATAAATTAAAGAAATCGGTGAGCATATAAAATGTTATTATTTGAAATGTATAATGTTGTTTAGTGGATTTATATGAAGTGTGGCAGAGATGAAGTGCTCTCCAGACATAATGAAAGACCATGGATTCCTGTTTCCATAATTGAAGTTCTTTTGTACTTATCTGCTGGGGGGAAAATAGCAGTATTTTTTAACAGATCTGCTTTCCATTAGTAAATATATTTATCTGTAGCTCCAGATACTCTGCTAATTTAAAACAAAAAAGAAGTTGGAAAGAAGATGTATTTTCTTTCAAGATAATTACATGTTGTGGCTGTAGATTTTGTCTCCAGAGTGAGTTAAGTATATCTGCATTAAAAACATTTTCATTGTTTACGTAGTTTACAAGAGTTGCACAGGGGCAATGCTTAATCCATGGGATAGGAGAAAAGGGTGTAAATATGTTATATTCCACTTTTCTTTCTTGAAGTTAAATGAACTGCTACTAATAAATAGGTTGTAGAACTACTTGCCACTAGCAGTCTGAAAACCATTGTGTAAGGTGTGCTCTTGCTGTTCCTCGGATCAAAGTTTTGAGGTTTGAAGATCTCATTAACCTATGGGGGTACCCAGAGCAGTTGTCCTCTGAATGTCACCAGAATATAAATAATAAAAACCAGTGTCTCCTGATCATTCGTCCCTGCTCTAAGCTCTGGACCTCACTGGCAAACCAAGAAGTTTTTCAAGTTTTATTTTTCTTTGTACCCACAATCCATAGCTTCATCAGTCTTGGGAGTTCAGCTCTGCATTTCTCTCCAGGGCAGTGAAAAGTTGTTGGCCTTCATCTGCCAGCCCCTCTGAGAAGTCAAATGAGAACCATTAGGTAAAGTGCAGTCCAGAGGTACCTCCCTGTGGTTCTCGCTGTCTCTCGAGGCACTCGTGGTGGCTATTGACAGAACGGGGCTGCTTTTCAGGGAGCTGGGGATCTGCTGGTCTTTGATACAAGAGCTTTACTTTTCCTTAGAAATAAAAAGGAGAGCTTTCTCTGCTTATTTTTGAAAGGGCCTTTCTCTAATGTTGTCATCACAGGTTTCTCCAGTGGATTAAAGGTGTTTTAACCCCCTCTCCCTCTTTCCC